TGATGTTTGTATGGTTTTGATGGTTGTTGTGTTTGTGGTGTTTGTAATGGTTTTGATGGTTGTGGTGTTTGTAATGGTTTTGATGGTTGTTGTGTTTGAGATGGTTGAGATGGTTGAGACATTTGTGGTATTTGTGGTGCTGGAGACTTATAAGGTTGTTGATTTCCACTATTATTATTTATATTTGATGAGTAAGATGTGTTTGTTTGCTGTGATGGTGAATGCTGTTGTGGTGGTATTGGTTTATTTATATCACCATTGCTATTATTTAAATTGTTATTTTTAAGAGGTGGATAATTATTTTTATTTATAGTTGAAAAAGTTGGTGGGGATGGAGGTTGAACAATATCTTTTTTCTTTACAGGTGGTACTGTACTTGGTGCTGAATCAGTAACAGTAGTGTTTGATGTTAAATTACTATTATTATTTATATTATTATTATTATTATTATTATTATTATTATTATTATTTATATTATCTACAAGGGTTGGAGTTAAGTTTGTTAAATTTTCTGTTGATGAAGAAATTGATGAGGATGATGATGAATAAGTTGATCCACCTAATGGTGATGAAGTGGAATTAATTAATGAGGGATGGTTATGTAAAAGGTTCGATGATGACAATGATGATGATGCTGTTGTTGGTGTTGTTGATGCTGATGCTGTAGTTGTATTTGAAGCTGGGTGGATATTTGAACTATTACCACTAATAGAATTGCCACTATTGCTTGGTGTACTAACTGCTGTTGTTGCTGTTGCTGCTGCTGTAGTTTGTGTTGATTGAGTATTTGAACCTATACTATTCAAAATAGCTGCTGCTGTAGTTGGTATAGATGAATTAATTGTTGTGGTTGCTGATGGGGTTGTCGATGAAGGAGTGGTAGATGAAGGAGTTGTTGATGTGGGTGTTGGTGTAGGTGTAGGTGTATTTATATTTGCGGGTGTGGTTGTTGTTGTTGTTGTAGTGGTGGTGGTAGTATTGGGTGATGAAGTAGTTGGTGTGGCTGGTTTTGCTCCACCCCAAACACTATTTGTTGAAACTATAGGTATAGTTGGTTGTCCTGCAGGTAAAACAGCACTACTATATACTCCATGATTACTAACTAAATTTTTTTCACTTTTTTCACTCCCAAGATTTATAGGTACAATAGTTGATTTTGATGTGACAGGTGTAGAAATTTTATTTGTTTCTAAAATAATGGTGGTCGATGTTAATAATTAATTCTTCGTTTGTAAACCTAAAACCTATTTATTATTATTATTATTATTATTATTATTATAACTTACTTTTAAGTTTAGGATTGGTAGCCAATGGCGAGTTCGTTGATGGTGATGACTTCATTATTTATTAATGGTGATTTGAATTTTTGATACATAGAATTAAAAAAATAAATAGTATATTTGGTTTTGGGATTTGGGAAAAAATAACTATAATTAAAGAATTAATGTTTGAAGGATATTTATATACAATATAAATATAGTTATTTTATTAAATTGATTAAAATTATAATTTCTCGAGAAACTCTATTTTTTAAAAAAAGGATATTAATGATATGTAATTTTTTTTGTTTTTATTTGTGTGTGGGTTTTTATTATTATTATTATTATTTTTTAAATTTTAAAAAATTTTAAAATTTTATTTTATTTAAATTAATTTAAATTTTAATTTAAATAATAACAAATATAGATAATAAAAACCAACAATAAAGATAACAACAATATAAAATATTATTATAATCAAAAATAAAAAAACTTTATACTTACATATTAAATTTTAATTTAAAAAATTATGTTCTCAAACTCGGTTTTATAAATAAAATATATATTTAAATTTTTATTAATTATTAACAAAATGGTTAAATGAAGATTATGATTTTTAAATAGAAAATGAAAAATAAAGTTCTTTGTTCTTTATGATTCAATAAATTGTGTATCTATTTATGTGATATGAAGTTTTTTAATGAAAAAAAAAATTTTATAAAAAAAAAAAAAATTTAAAAAAATAATAAAAAAAAAAAAAAAAAAAAAAAAAATTTAAAAAAAAATATTTTTTTTTTTTTTTTTATTTAAAATTATTTTTTTTTTATTTTTTTTTTTTAAATACATATTTGAATATTTAATTAATTAATATATTTATTTGATGGTTGGAAGTATTTATAAAATTAGGTTTGTTTATATCTTTTTATAATTATATTCCAATTTAATTATTTGAATAATAAATATGTTGTTTGTGAATTTTTTCTATTAATTTTTAGATTTATTTTAATTTATCATTAGTTTGAACATGATTTATATATAAACATTATAAAACCCAAAAAAATATAAAAAAAAAAAGAATACCACTATACAAATTTAAAAAAAATTTTAAATATTCAAATTTTATTCACAAAAAAAAAAAAACCCCCCTTGTTCCAAAATACCCAACTTTTGGGGGGGAATTCCCAAAAAGGATTTTTTTTTAAAACCCAATTAAAAAAAAAAACTAACCCCAAGGAAAAATAAAAAAAACCTTAAAAAAAAAATCGGGTCCAAAGGAAACAATTTTTTAAAAAAATAAAATTTGGGAGTTTGTTTTTTTTTTTTGGTTTTTTTTTTTTTTTTTTTTTTTTTTTTCAAAACATTTTTTATACCAACAAAAAAAAAAAAATTATTTTTAGATAATAAAAAAAAAATTGTATAACAAAAAATGCGTTTATTTTCAGCAGCCTCAACAATATTATTCCTTCTTGTTTGGTCTTTACTAGTTGTCTCTTTTGCAAGTATGTTTAATTATTTTTAAAAAAATAAAACAATAATAAAATATCTAATTATTGTATTTCTATTTTTATTTTTTATTTTTATTTTATTTTTTTATTTATTTTTTTTATTTATTAATTTTATTTATTAATTTTATTTATTTTTTTTTTATTTTTTTTTTTATTTATTTTATTAATACTTATTTTAGCTGGATGGTACCATGTTGACACTAAAAATAGAGATGGAGATATGGTTAGAATGTTTTCATTTTACCCAACCAAAGTAAAGATTTCGAATTATGGTATAGAGGATGGAAATGTTAGTTACAAAGATTTTCAAGGAATTCTCTCTGCATCCAATGGATTAGAAATCAACTTTTCTTTCAAACCATTCATTAACGCTAGTTTTGCAATGGCAATTATCGCCTGGATTGTCTGCACTGTTCAAATAGGCCTCCAAATTATGGATACTTTGGGTAAATAATATTATATTGGTTATACAATGTTTCAAAATTTATATTAATTTTTTTTTTTTTTAATATAGGTAAAAATTTCGTTCCAATAGTTGGTAGATTCCTTGGTTTTGTTGTTTTTGCTCTCACTCTTATTTCATTCATTGTTTATGTAAGATTCAAACCAATTCTTAATGAAGATTGTAAAAAGGTTTATAGTAATTGTAATGTTGCAAACTATGGTGTCTATTCTGAATCTTTCATTGGTAAGAATGATTCTTCAAGATGGGGAAGTGGTATTGGATGGAATTCTGTATTGGCTAGTTGTATTTTCGCATTATTCACATCAATCTATAACGTTTTCTTTTTCAATAAATCAACCGCTTAAGAAATTTAATTAAAACTGTATAATATTATTTTAGTAAAAATAAAATTAAAAAATAAATAAATAAAAAAAAAAAAAAGAAAATATAATTATGTTTCTTTTGATACTTTTATTTTTTAAAAAAAATGGCTGTGCAGAAAAAAAAACAATTTTTTTTTTTTTCAAATTATAATAGTTTGAATCTAATAATAAAATGATTGATGACTAACTATAAAATATTAATAAAATGTAAAAAATTAAAAAAACAGTAGATGTGGGTGATAGCCCAATATTTTTGGTTGAAAAAAAAAAAAAAAAAAAAACTTTTTTTTAAATGATTTTTTAAAAAGTTTGTAAAATAAAAAATCATTTAAAGATTTCAAGATTCAATTTATAACCCCACGCTCATCTTTTTTAAAATCATGAAAAAATATTAAAAAAAAAAAAAATCAATTAATCAATCATCAAAAAAAAATATTTGGTTTTTAAATCAAAACCTAAAAATAAAATAAATAATATATATTTTTATGTATATATATATAGACACACACAAAAACATAAAATTCATAAAAATAATTAATGAATATAATTTAATTTTATTTTTTTAATTTTTTAAATTATTCAAACACCCACAAAAATATCGCACGTAATGTGTTATATATATTAAAATTAAATATTGGTATCTACAAACTAATTCTCATAAGCTTGTTTGGGAGTCTGTAAGTGGAGCTTCAAAAAAAAACTCACACGCTTCTAAATTTAAATTAAAAAAAAAAACACAAACACTATCATTATCATAATTATTATTATAATTATTATTATTGAATTAAAATACTTCTCAATCTTACAAACATTACGATTTTTGAATGTTTATTGTTAAACACACACACAGTGGGTTTAAAATTAAAAATCACACACACAATATCACCAACGGTGATTTTTTTTATATTTTTTATTTTTTATTATTTTTTTAAAAAAAAAAAAACAAAAATATTTTTTTTTTTTCAATCAATTTTTTTTTTTTTATTTAATAAATAACTTAATATTTTTTTTTATTTTTTTTTTATTTAATTATAAAATATTCATTTATTTATTTATTTATTATATTTAAATAATTTTTTTTATTTGTTTATTATTTAATCCATCATCATTTTTTTTTTATTTTTTTTTTTTTTCAAACCCACAAAAAAATTTAAATTTTTTATTTTTATTAAATTTTGAAATTCTATAAATAAACCAGATATTTTATTTATTATTTTTTAAAATTATTTTTTTTAGGAATGAAGTTTTATAGTGTAGTTTCAGCTATTATTTTTTTAGTAGCATGGATTTTAATTTTATTATCATTTTTTAAAACATGGTATTATTTCGAAATTACTCAACCCATTGATGAATATAATACAGTTAAATATTCATTTGGTATTGGAAAAGTCAAAACACACGATTACCACAACAGCACTGCAAATAGCAATTTAGATACAATAAAGTTTTTCAAACAATTTGGTATTGGAGAAGTCAGATATAACGAGTTTTTAAGTGCTTCAGTTGGTTTTGCCATTATTTCATGGGTTATTTGTATGGTTCAATTTGCACTTTGCGTTTTGGATGTAATTGGTAAATATAATATTTTTAATGTTTTTTTTTACTTTACAAAATTATTAATATTTTTTTTTACTTTACAAAACTATATAGGAAAAACTAGTAATATTGGAAGATTTTTAGGTATAATAGTATTAATATTTACAATGCTTTCATTATCTATTTTTACTGGTTTCAAGAGCTCATTACATAAAGCATGTTTACAATCAAAGGTGAATAATTGTGACTCTGGTGCATTAAAAGGATTATGGTCCTCCTCTTTCGTGGGTGAAAATGACTATTCTGAATGGGGTAAATATTAATATTTTTATATATAATAAAAAAGAAAGGAAAAGCCTTTATTAATTTTAAAATATTATTTATTTTTTGTTTTAGGTTATGGAGATGGATGGATTTATATGATTGCTGCCTTTGTACTATCTTTTGCTGGTGCCATTTATAATATTCTCTTTTTCAATAAAAATAGGGAAGATGATTAAACTTATTTTATTTTATGTATAAATAAAAAAGAAAAGGTGGAAGGAAGAAGGAAGAAGAGATGGAAGGAGTGAAGAGGAAGGGAAATAAACAGAAAGAAATTTTTATAAAAAAAAAAAAAAGAAAAAACAAAAAAAAAATAGATTATTTGTACTTGTATTAAAAAGAAAAAAAACAAAGTTGTATCAACTATAATAAACGAAAAAATAAAAGAAATAAAATTATTTAATTTCTTTTGTTGGATGTTTCTCTAAATGTCGTTGGAATTTATCGGTGTTAATATTATTACTATTATTATTATTATTATTTTCATTTGGTGTTGTAATTCTTTTATAAACTGATTCTTCAACTTTTTGAATATGTGTTGATAATCTTGCAACTGTAAATAAATAATCTGATAAACGATTTAAGAAATGCATAACGGATGGATTAACTGAATCTTCACCAAGTTGTTCACGCATTAATACCAATTCACGTTCTGAACGTCTACAAACCGATCTACAAACTTGAAGTTGAGAAGCACTTAGACCACCACCAGGTAAAATAAAATTTTTTAATGGTTGTAAATGAAGAGTATGTTCATCAATCCAATTTTCTAATTGGGTTGTATGGTCGTCTGAGAACTTTGCTCTCATTAAATGTTGCTCAGATGATGTCGTTGCAGGTGTTGCTACATTGGATCCTACATCTAATAATAAACATTGAATGCTTTCTATTTCTTCAATTACTTTATGAATGGTATTGGTTCTATCTTTATCGACTGATTGAATTTCAGTTTTTAAACATACTAATTGTTCTTTTGCAACACCTAAATGACTTGATAGTTCATCAACTGAGCCTAAAACATTGAATATTGGGTTGCACTTCGATCTTCTTTCACCATTAAATAATGCTGATGTACCCTTGTCCCCAGTTTTAGTATATATCTTACTACTAAAACAAACTTTATTATTATTATAAAAGTTATTGTTTTTATTTGATAAAAAATAAATATTTCTAAAACCTATAATATTTTTAAGCATTATATTTTTTTAATAGTTGGTGCTGGTGTTGGTGCTATGAAAATAAAAAATAAAAAAATGAAATTAATGAAATTTAAAAAATAAAAAAAAAATAAAAAAAAATTTTAAAAAAATAAATAAAAATTTCATACACACACAAACACACACATTTATAAATTACTTCAGATATTTATATTTGTGTAAAAATAGATAAATAAATTAACAAAAGTATATTTTTTTTTTTTAATAATTTATTTTATTTTATTTTATTTTTTTTATTTTTTTTTTATTTTATTTTATTTTTTTTATTAATTATTATTATCGTTATAATGAATTCTTAATTTAGAATCTGTACCACCGGAAACAATTGAATAGTTATCGTTATTATTATTATTAATCCAAGATGAGGTTAAAACTTTTTCATTTGTTTTTTCTAAATTATCAATTGTATAGAATGGAATTTTGGTACGAATATCCCAATATTTAATAGTACCATCGTGTGAAGTTGAGCAAAGGTGATGTTTTGAGTTTGGTTTCCAACAGACACTGGTTACCCAAGTTTTATGTGAAAATAATGATTGAATTTGAGCTTTAGTTTGGTCACTTTCTCTTGGATCCCAAATACGAATTGTTTTATCTTTGTGTGCAGATGCTATAAGTCCAGACTCTACAGTATAACTAATATCGGTTAATGATGAACTGGTGTGAATTGATTCAGTTTGAGTTAAAGTGTTGACATCCCATAATTTGATATTATGGTCCATTGAACCTGAAAGTAATTGGAATTGAGTTTCCCAGTTGACGGTGGTAATACCTTGACAATTTGGTACAGAGACTGATTGAATTGACTCGGTAATTTCGTGAATGGTTTCTGGTGCGGTGGTAGTTTTACGTTTTTTAAGACTTGAATTGGATGGTGCGGCAGCTGGAGTATTTGGTATATTTTTAATGCTCCATAATTTAATAGTGCCATCCATTGAACCACTAACAATACGTGTTTGATCTGGTGAAACATCGACTGACTCAACTGAACCAGTATGTTCTTTAAGTACTGCTAATGCTTTAATTTCTGATTGTTCTTTATTGAAATTCCAAACTCTTAATGTTTTATCTAATGATGCTGATACAAAACTTAAATTACTATTATCTTTATCATTGATCCATGATACACATTTAACACCTGCTAAATGTCCAGTACCTGTTGAAATTAAATTACCTTCTGAATCCCATACTCTAACACCTAAATCATATGAACCACTAACTATTAATCCAAAATTACCACCATGAACACTTGAAACCCAGTCATCATGTTGACATTCTTTTTCTCTCTTTGGTTCTGTAATTGCTTCTAAATATTCAATTGTAATTATATCTTCCTAAAAAAATAACAATAACAATAACAATAACATTAGTTTATGCCATACACCAAATTATATTTATTAATTATACTTACTTCGCTTAAACTATTATTTTTAATGTGTGTATCTAATGTTGTTCTAATAAATTTACCATTAATAAGAAAATCAAATGGTTTTGAATTTTCTTCAATATCTTCTCTTAAATGATGAATAACTTCTGAAAGCCCTAAACGTGCTAAACGTACTGGTACGGCAATTGGTGTATCTGTTACTCTAATATTTGGATCGTTTGTAATAAATTTAACTTTAACTTTTGATTCCTCTTTATTGTTTACTTTTTTTTCAACCATTTTTCTCTTTATATATATATTTTAAATATTTAATATTATTTATTTAAAGTTATTAATTACTATTTTTATAATACAAAAAAAAAAAAAATGAATTAATCTATTCGTTTTTTTTTTTTTTTTTTTCGTTTTTAAAATTTTTTTTTTTAAATTTTTAAAATTTTTTTTTTTTTTTTTTTTAAATAAAAAAATAAAATATTTTTTTTTTAATTTATAACTATCCATAATAATACACCCAATTTGATCAAAACTAAAATAAAAATATATAATAAAAAAAAAATACCCCTTTTAATTTAATTTTTTTTTTATTAAATTTATACAGTTATTTTTTTTTTTTTTATTTTTTTTTTTTTTTCAACAATACTTAAGATGATGAGAAAACAATTTGGTTCTTGAGCAATCACAACAGATCTAGCAAAATTATATATGTTAGTTTTTTTCACAACAAAGACTTCGGCTTGGCCTGGCCTGGTGTAGTTTGGCTAATAATAACACCTTAGAATCGACATCAACAATGGATGTATTCCTAAACCAAATATATTCACCTGAACCACTTGATGTTCTAATATTTGTATCTTTGTTCATTATTTGGTAAATAGTAATAAATACAAATAGTTCAAATAATAGCACAGGTAGTATTGGTATATAAACAATTGGTATATTAAAATAAATGAATTAATATTGACCCAAAAATAATTAATAATGATAATAAAAAAAAGTGTAGAAAATAGGGGTAAAAAAAAAAAAAAAAAAAAAATAAATATTTCTCCAAATAATAAACTATAAATCATATCAAAAAAACAAGACATTAGTAATAAAATGGACATGGTATTTTACTTGTAAAATTTTAAATCTTATTTTATATTTGTCTTGTTCTGTTTATATTATTATATTAATATTTCTTTTTTTTATATGGTGGGTTTTTAGCTAAAGTGATCTATGATTATGACCAAATTCTACTAATAAAACTGAATCCGGAATAACACCAGCACCAAAAGTTAGCCTGGATGGATTAACAAACTGTATTATTTCTACAGATGCAGGGATATCACCACTTTTAAGTGTCTGAGAGAAAAAATAACCGAATGTTAAAGTTCTAACGGAGGTTGGTATATCCCCTTGTTTAAGTGGCTGATTGAAGTTATCTCCAAATATTATTTCCTCAACAGAGGATGGTATATCACCTTGTTTAAGAGGCTGATTGAAAGAATTACCAAATTCTAAAATATTAACAGTTGGTGGTATATTGCCGGCATTGAGTTCACTGTTGATAGAATATGTTAAAGCTGTAACTGAAGGTGGTATAACAATAGATTCCGGTGTTACCTGCATAACTTCACTCAAAGCCAATGTTTTGATTGAAGATGGTAATACTCCTTCCCCAAGTGGGTGATTAAAAGAAGAACCAAGCGATAGGGCTTTAACTGAAGATGGTATATCGCCTACTTCAAGAGGCTGGTTGAAATTAAGAAAAATTAATACTTGAACTGAGGATGGTATTACTCCTGGTGTGAGTGTACAATTGAACCCATTACCAAAATATAAAAATTCGACTGATGATGGTATGTCTCCTTCTTTAAGTGGTTGGTTGAATCCATTAAGTAATAGAGATTTAACCGATAAAGGAATATCACCTGGTTTAAGTGGTTTATCGAAACCACCCAAACTTAATACTCTAATTGAAGCTGGTAATGAACCTTCTTCTATTTCATGGTTAAAGCCATCGCCAAATGTTAAGGACTCTATTGAATTTGATAAAACATTTCTATTTAATTTTTCTGTGATATTTAATGTAACACTTGTAAAATAAAATTTTTTTGGGTGAGTTGTATATTCTTCGATAGAATCGAAAGTATGATTTTCATTAATAAATAATTCTAAATGATTTGATATTTCATTTCTTAAAAATACATTTCTCCAAACCGAAAAAAACAATTTATCCATTTTTTAGATATATTTTATTTATTATAGCAGTATTTATATTATATACATTTAAAATTTTTTTTAAAATAATTTTATAAGATTTTTATTTTTTTTTTTAAAATTTTTTTCAAAAATTGATTCAATTTATTGAAAAAAAAAAAATTAAGTATACTCAAAATTTAAAAAATAAATTTCTTTTATTTTTAATAATTTTTCTAATTTAAATTAAGTTTTCAAATTTTAATTTTCAAATTTTAAAGTTTCTAATTTTTATAAAGTTTTCTTCACGACAATATAATTTTTTTTTCCTTCCTTACTTTTGTTTAGCCACTTCAATGAACCCCTTCAATACTGAATAGTACCATCAAGTGTCACAGACTTAACTCTAGGTGTGGGCTCCAACTTTAATATTCGAATTTTTAAAATTTTTTTTATATCATTTTAAATTTTAAAAAACTGAAAATAGTTCAAATATAATTATTATAAAATTAACAAAATGGGGTTAAATTTTACCAATATCAATATAAAATAGAAATAAATAATGTTACTATACATATTTGTTGTCTCCTTATTACTTATTACGAACCATTCTCTTCAGCATAAATATATGTTGAGTCTCTAGCAGTATATTTATTATTTATAACTGATACCAAAACGGATCCTATACATTTTTTGGTTGATCACATGACAAACCTATTTCAATGTCTTTATGTTCGTGAAGTGGTGTATTGATCCTTTAAAAACACTGGTTTTATCTCATTCAAACACTATTCATTATTTTATTTTTTTTATTTTTTCATCTTTTCGTTTCATTTTTTTTTAAAGTAAATAATTAAATATTTTTTTTATCATAATAAACCATTTAAAAAAACTAACAATTAATTCAAATATAGATCTTTTGCTCCAGCTATCGATTTCCATGTTAAAGGTGAATTTCCTTTTTCAAAACTTCCAAATGGAATCCAATTTTTGTAAATATTATTATTAATATTATTTTTATTTTCCGAAAAAAATAATATTAACTTTTATTTCTTTTTCAAAAATTAATACAGTGATTACAACATTGGAAATTTAAAAAAACTCCCAGACTATAGAACATTTGATTATACAGATATTTATTATTTTTCATGTTATGCTCATCCATTAACACAAGATTTACCAAAATGGGATGGCTCAAAAAATAATATAACAACATTAATGTTATCGCAAAATTCACTAACTGGTACCATTGACGAATCATATTGTTCTGTTATTTTAATAGTATACAGTAATCTATTGACAGGTTGGAAAATTGCTTTTAGTTTTATTTTGAATAATAAAAACGCTATCCATTCTCTTAATAAAGAGAAAAAGAGACAAAAAGAGATTAATTAATGGGGAATATCACAGCCTATTAATTTAATAAAAACTATTATTATAATCAAAAACCTCTCAAATTTATTTTTTTTGATTTTTTTTTAATATTTTTTGATTTTTTTTAGATATTTATTTTTTTTATTTTTTTTATTTTTTTAAAAAGATTTCAGTTTCAATCACATTCATCATAAAAACAAAATGATATTACAGATAATAGTATATATAATAATTTTTTATCTTGCTCATAATACAGTAAGTTTTAAAATTTATATATTATCACATAGTTTCTAATTATGATAACTAATAAATAAAAAACTCATAGATTAAAAAATATAGAAAAATTCATCCAAATGAAGTCCCAGGACCAACACCAATCCCAATTTTAGGTAACCTTCATCAGTTGATAAGTAAAAAGCCTCATGTGGATTTAACAAATATGTCAAAAAAGTATGGTCCATTAACAAGAATTTGGTTAGCCGATGTAAATATTAATTTTTTGTGCATAAAAAAAAAAAAAATTAACAAATTATTTTTATAGTTATACACAGTAATTATTTCAGATCCAAATTTAATTAGAGAAGTTTATGTAGATAATTTTGATAATTTTATGAATAGACCTAAAATTCCTGTAAGTTTTTTATTTTTAAAAATTATTAAAAAAAAAAAAAAAAAATAATAATAATAATAATAATAATAAGATTAGAATTATAATAGATATTCTATTTATATATTAATTGATTTTTTTTATTTTTAAATTTTATTTTTTTATTTCAAAGTCAATAGAACAGTCAACTGATTTTCATGGTACTATTAGCTCGAGTGATAATGATTGGAAAAGAAATAGAGAAATTGTTTCAGTTGCATTAAGAAAAACCAATATTAAACATATTTATCAACTATTGGATTACCAAGTTGATGTTTTAATAGAGTCAATGAAATCAATAGAAAAGGCAGGTGAAGCATTTGATCCAAGATATTATTTAACACGTTTTACAATGTCTGCAATGTACAAATTAATCTATAACAAGGATGTTCCAAAAGATGAAGATATCAATAATGGTGAAATCAAAGACTTAATGAAACCTTTACAACAAATTTTTATAGACTCTGGTAAAGGTTCAATTTTTGACGTATTAGAAATAGGTAGACCATTTTACAAGCTTTATTTGAAATATATCAATAAAAACTTCATTAAAATGTTGGATTATTCAAGAGGTAAATTCAAAGAACACCTTAAAGACTATAACCCAGAGGTTCAAAGAGATCTTTTAGATATTTTAATCAAAGAGTATGGCCATGAAAACGAAGACGATATCTTATGGGTTCTATCAACGGTAACAGGGCTTTTCTTAGCTGGGGTTGATACCTCTAGTACAGGTTTGGAAATAATGCTATTATTATTAATCAACTACCCAGAAATTCAAGAAAAAGCATATCAAGAAATTAAAAGTGTAATGAAAGACAGATCAAAAGTGTTGTTATCAGATAGACAATCAATGCCATTTGTTGTTGCTGTATTAAAGGAATCAATTAGATACTTACCTATTTCTCCATTTGGTTTACCAAGAACTACCAGAAATGATATGGTTATCGGTGGAAAGTTCATACCACGTGATTCTCAAATTTTAATCAACTACCATGCTTTAAGTGTTAATGAAGAGTACTGGGAAAATCCAAGTGAGTTTAATCCACTTAGATTCTTAAAATCCGATTCTAATCCAGCATATATTCCTTTTTCAATTGGAAATAGAAATTGCGTGTAAGTAAAAAAAGTATACATATATAAACTTAATTTTATAAATAATAACATTATTTTGTTTTATTATAGGGGTGCAAATTTCGCCAACGATGAAATGTTTCTTGCTTTGTCAAATATGATTTTAAATTTCAAATTCAAATCAATAGATGGTAAGCCAATTGATGAAACTCAATGCTATGGCTTATCATTAAAACCAAACCCATTTAAAATTATTTTAGAATCTAGAACATAAAATAATTTAAAATAATAATGTTAAGATAGGTACAGATAATAAAGTTATAAATAAATAAATAAATTTAGAGAAACAGTCACAATGGTTTCCCCAAAGAAATTAGTATCTGGTGGAGTTTTTTAAATTAATATTCCCATATAAAAATTTGAGTGCTTCAAAATAATCTTTTTAATATTTTTTTTAAGGAAAACTTAAAATTTTTAAACTTAATATTTTTTTTTTTTTTTTTGGTTGATAAATTTTAAATTTTTTTTAATATTATTTTAATTTTTAAAAAAAAAAAATGAAAAATAATATTATTTTTTTCTTTATTTCAATTTTATTATATACAAATACTTTAGGATTATTTCTAGATTCTGTTAAAATTAAAAATGTTGATGAGTTTTCAGACACATTAAAAGAAATATCGAAAAACTTACCCACAAATATTAATCATGGCTTTAATAGAATTTCTCTATTACTTCCAGAATTATCATATGCGATTGAATCTCAAGAAAATGATATTGTTTTAATCAAAGATAAAGTTATTTCTATTAGAAAGTATAAATATAAACTATTTAATAAAATAAATTTAACTTAAATTAATAAAATATTTTTTTTCAGTCGAATCAACAGAAAAAATAATCGATGGTTATATTGATAGCATCGGCATAGAAAGAAGGACTAAATTTGAAAATTCTAAAAAACTTCTTTTAATACTTAAAGAATCTTTAATAGAAAGTCAGTTCCAAACCATTGATTATATGGAAGAAAGATTTAATAGAGGAATCGAAAGGGCTCTAAAAGAATCTAAAAAATGTCAAAATTTTACACAGAAATCTTATGTTATTTTTACCCTAGTGGCTTTTGCGTTAACAATTATAATTAAAACTATTAAGAAAGATTTTATTCTAAAAAAAAAATACATTGTTTTAATTTTTAGTGTAATATATTCTCTTTATTCATATTCAGAAATGGGTGACTATTCAACAAGATCAGATTTATACAATATGTTATTAAAGCAAAAAATAGACAATTGAAATTTAGGCATTCCCAAGTAAAAATGATAGAAATATCCTTAAACCAAGGTAGATGTGTTGGATCCTAGGGCTGCACGTTAAATTTTTTTCTAAGTCTTTTTAACAAATATTAAAAATATATAAATAAACAAAGATTTTATATTTAATTTGAAGATCAACAATTGATTTATTTCTGTATAATTTTTTTGTAAAAAATGAATTCATGAACACAACAAAATACCTCACCTATTACACAATTTTTTTTTTAAAAATTTTTTTTTTACCTAAACAGACCTCCAGTAGAAAAGAAAAAAAAATATTTTTTATGCCAAAATAAAAAAATCAACCTAACGCGCCACTATGTTTTTCAATTTTTATTTTAATATACAATAGTTTTTATTTTAACATAAAATAATTTTAAAAAATAAAAAGTAAAATGGTAAAAAAAGGATCAAATTATTATGTGTTTGTTTTGTTTTTATGGTAACTGACATCTATTTGAAAAGTGAATTGAAATAAGACTTTCATCAATTATAGGGTCTTTCTCCTTTCTTCATCTGAAATTTTTATTGAAAAAAAGCTATGTGTTTTGTTTTTAAGGTAACCGATATCTATTTGATAAAAATAGTCTTCTTTTCTGTGATTTTTCACAAAAATTAAATGTTCTTTATTTTTTTTGTATACCCCAACTACGACCAAGGTATGAACTATGGTACTTTTTTCTGGATAAAAGAGCTTAAATCTTCGAACTCTTCTCTTGAAAGTTTTACATTAAGAATCACACCATGAATTTTCCCAAGTGAGATTAATACCTGAGGAAATAAAATTTTTATGTTAATATAGAAAAAAAACTCAATAATTTTTAAAATACCAACCTCTTCTGATGGAATTTGATTATATTCAATTTTATAACCATTAGATACCAATTGTTCTAAAGATTCTTTAAAACTAAAAGTTACTGATCCACAGCAAGAATTTTTTAAAATACTTGATTTTTCAAACTTTTCATTGTTAATTGAGAACTTTAATGGATAAGCAGCATACATGATGGCAGCAGAAATCGAGTGAACAACTTGATCCTCTGGAACTTCGCCTTCAATAGCATCTTTTGGAAATTTAAGTATATATTTTTTAAATTCTTTCTTAGAAGGTCCTAATTTAAATAAAATTAAAAATTAACTTTATTAGTTATGTTTCTAAAAATTCTGTGGTGTTTGGTTTGGAGTTTTTATATACAGGGTGGGGTTTAACAATAAATTCTAGAAAGAATATTTATGTGTTGATAATTGGAAAAAAAAAACAAAATGATTATTATTATTATTTTATGATCACTATAAATTATATTCCATTTTTATGAAATAATGGTTTTTTTTTAGTGGTGATTATTAAAATTACTATTATGACGATGATGATTATTATTTATAAATTGATTTTGTTGGTCCAATAAGGTTTTTAAATCTAAAAAGTTTTGTTTTTGTTGTATAATTAAATAAAAAGTGACAGCTAGTATAAAAAGAGTGATAAAGAAAAGAGCATAAGCTGGTGACCATGATGATGGTTGTTGTTTTAAAACCCCCAGATTTAAAAGTCCCTTTTTAAAAAAAAAAAAAAAAAAAAAAAAAAAAAAAAAAAAAAAAAAAAAAAAAAAATTTATACTCACCAACACTTGACATTTTATCTCTTTGTTTATTAATTTATAAATTATTTTTATATATTTATTGTATTTTTGGTTTAGTAAAAAATAAAAAATAAAAAATTGAAAATTTATAAAAAAAAAAAAAAAATAATTGGTGGAAATCCTAATAATTAAATTTTTTTTTATGTTTGAAAGGTAAAATAATTTGAATTTTTTATTTTATATTATTTTTTTTAAATAAATTTTTTTTAATTTTGAAAGGTAAAATAATTTGAATTTTTTATTTTATATTATTTTTTTTTTTTTTGTTTTAATTACCTTTCAAAAAATTATATATATTTGTTTATTTATTTATTGTTAGAAAGTTAATTTTTTAAATTTGGTGAGTATTTTTTAGTTATTTCAAATTTACTCAAACTTGACTCTAACAATAAATAAATAAACAAATATATAATTTATAACTATTGTGATTAAATATAAAATAAACTCCCAAAAAAAATATATAAAAAAAAAAAAAAAAAAAAAAAAAAAAAAGATAAAAATAAAAGGGAATAAAAATATTTTTAAGAGTGACATAGAAATATAACAAATAAAATTTTTTTTTTTTTTTATTATTGTTAACAGTTATTTAAAATATATAAGTTTAAAGAAAAACACTTGATTTTTATTAGAGATAGAACATATCAATATACAATGAGACTTAATTTTTTTATTAAAATATATTAAAAGTATAATGAACACCATTGGGGCATATGTAGACAAAATATAAAGTTAAAAGAAAAATTTTTAAAAAATATTTAAAAAATAAAAGAAAAAAAAAATAAATAACACATTTTTCAATTTTTTCTTATAAATGATTTTTTTTTTATTGAATAAACTTAAAAAAAAAATTTAAAAATAATTATTTTTATTCAAATAAATTTTTTTTTTTTTAATTTATTTTTTTAATTTACAAAATATAGATTCGGTTGCGCAAAAAAAAAATTTTTGAGATTTTTTTTAGATTTAAAAAATATTGATAACAAAATATTGTATCCCTTTAAACTAATTATTGAAAAATTAATAAATTAAAATAATCATAAAAAATATAAATAAAAAAAAAAACTTAAGGATCTCGAAACTATGCTTAATTTAGTTATTCGCCCTTATGGCATAAAAATATGAAATTTTTAACAGATGGATTCTTAGCTCAGTGGTAGAGTATGCGACTGCAAATCGTTTGGTCACCAGTTCAATCCTGGTAGGGTCCTTCTTTTTAAAAAAAAACTCTATCTTCCTGGAGAATTATTTTATTTTACAAGTTTTTATTAAAAATCGTTTATACAATTTTCCAAATTATTATCATTAAAAAAAGTGAATCTTTTTCTTTTTTGACCAACTGCAATATCGTTAAACATTGTTTCGCTTATTTTTGTTGATTTATCAAGGTTCCATTCCACACCAAAGCAATTACCTCTCATGGCATTATCGGCGGTACTCCAACTAAAACGAATAAAAGAAGGGTACCCAAAAACTTTGTCACGATTTTTAGTTAACCAAAATTTAGTTACAGGGTCACTTGGGTAACCGGATCCAAATTCAGTTGATAATTGGTCATCTTCATCTTGTATTTCTAAATCATCAAAATTCTTTGAAGTAATTTCATGATCTCTAATAACTTTTGCACAAATGGAAGCAGCACTAACGATTGGATAGAGAGAATCTGCTTTTTTCGAAACTACAATCTTTGAAATCTCTGGGAAGTGGTTTTTCAACATTGCTTGATAAGTTGCTGGTGTACCCACTGTATCTAAATATAACTCTTGTACATTTATACCTTTCGATAATACTGATCGAATTAGTCCCATTGCCGACTCGTGTGATATAACATTTAATGATATTGGTTTCTTTAATAACATTTTCTCTGATAGGATTTCTGGTGATATTACATCAACTTCAAAACCTAATATCTTATTCGAATCACACATTTTTTGAAATAAATGATTTCTTTGTTGTTCTGTTAATTTTTTTGAATCTATAATATTAAATTGAATAGAATATTAATAGACGTAAAATACATATGTATTTTAATAATGAAATTTTTAAATATATTATTAATACCATTAAACTTCATTTTACTAATTGTGGCAGTTTCGGAAATTGGCGCGAAACAACACCCATACACAAGCGGCCCCATTACAGGACCACGACCAGCTTCATCAATGCCCATTATAAATGGCTTGGTTATATCTATTGATTTATCGATATCGCTAAAATGTTTCATATTTGGTATAAATATGTGTATATATAAAAATAAATAAATAATTATAATAAAATGAAAAAATTAAAAAAATTAAAAATATTTTTTTTTTATTTTTTTTTAATTTTTTTTTTTTTATGAAAATTTGTAAAAAAAAGAGGTATTTAAATAAAACGAATACTTAATGATTATTAATTAATTAAAATGTTAAAAATTATAAAATTTAATAATAGTAATAATAATTATTTAATTAAAAATAAAAATACAATTATAAATCACATTTTAAATAAAAAATTTTATTGCACAAATAATAAAGAAAAAAATTTATTATTTTCATTTGGATCATTCGATAATTTAAAGTTAGGTTTACCAGGCAATGAGGATAAATTATACCCACAACAAATTACCCATTTACCACCATTTTTAAAAATTAAACAAATTGGTACATCATGGTTAAATTCATTTTTGTTAACTGACGAATCATCAACTTCAACATCGTTGACAACAACAACAAATAAACCTGTTTCAAATAAAGTTTACATGTGGGGTACAAATAAATCTGGTAATATGGCATTACCATCAGATCATTATAGATTTCCAACCTTGGTAGATATTTTAAAAGAAGCAAATGTTGAAAAAGTAGTTGGTGGTAGATCATATAGTTTAGTATTAACTAGTAAGCATTATTATTTCAGTAATTTTAATGTACATTGAAATAAAAAACTAATTATATTATTATTTATTGTATAGATGAAGGAAAGGTATTGGGATTTGGTGAAAATAATTTTGGACAAATTGGAACAGGAGATATACATAACAAAACAGTACCAACTTTAGTTGAAAATTTAGATCAATTTAGAGTTATTGATGTTGATGTTGGTTTAGATCATTCATTAGTAGTTACATCGAGTGGACATGTATTTGGATGGGGATATAATGTTGAAGGTCAAATAGGTCAAAAAGTTGTAGAATATACTAGAGTTCAATCATCGACTGATCAATTACCAGGAGAAGATTCATTAGAAGGACAAATGGTGGCTGATGTTGAATATTCATCACCTACATTAGTACCAGGTTTAGAAAAAGTTAAAATTTCAAAAGTTTTTTGTGGATATGATTCATCATTTTTATTATCTGCACGTGGTAATGTTTATGCATTTGGCAGTAATGAAGTTGGTTCATTAGGTTTAGGTGGTGATCATATAGGAAGAGTGGTTACACCAACCAAAGTTAAATTACCAGAAAAAATCCAACAAATATCAAGTGGTTCTTCTCATACTTTGTTTTTAGGCAACAGTGGTAATGTCTATGGATGTGGTTGGGGATCTGAAGGTAGATTAGGTTTAGGAGACAATACATCAAATCGTAACGAACCCGTTTTATTAAACTATTTTAAAGATAACAATATTAGAATTATTAAAGTCTCAGCTGGTGGATCTCACTCTTTAGCCTTGGATGATCAAGGTAATGTCTACTCTTGGGGTAATGGCTCCAATGGAAAACTTGGTCATGGAGATGAAAAAGATTGTCATTTACCAACTAAAATCAATTATTTCCAAAACTTATTTTGTTTAGATATTTTTTCAGGTATTGATAATTCTTTAGTATTATCAAAAGAAAGATAAAAAGAGATAAAAATAAAATAGAATAAAATATAATAAAAGATTTAATAAATATAAAGTTTTTTTTATTTATATGTGAAATTTATTATCACTATTATTGTTGTTTTAAATCTGAAACTTGTTGTCTTAAATTTTTAATTTCGTCTATTAATAAAGCTATTGATTGATTAAATTGATTTGAAACATTTAAGGTGATACGTTTTTCAACATCATCAAACGATTTTGAAAATTGGTCCACTGGATCTGATTTTTTTCTTTCATTTTCTATACCTTGTAAAGACATTGCCATCTCATCGGGGAAATAAGATATATAACTACGGTTGGTAATACCTTCAGCAACACTATATTCCATTTCACTTAGTTGGTTTAATTGGTTGTTTGTAATACGTTCCTTAAGATAAGCGAAAAAGTATAAATAATGCCATTTATTGTGATCATCTTCTATATGCTTGCTAAAATCGATTGACTTCTTTTGGAAATACTCTCTTTCAATAGAACAAATAAAGCAAACATTGTTTTTATATTCTTCTGTTTCGGCTCTTTGATCACGCAATTGACCAAATGTATCGACAATAATACCTAGAATTACATTTAAAAGAATTAATGTTACAATTACGTAAAATACAATGTTGTAAACGGTCCAGCCTATAACTCTAGCAGATTGGGCATTTGTAGAGAATAAAGTATCGCCATTGGATTGTGACATATCAGATGGGGAATATGTACCAGTTGGACCCGATTCGGAACCAATTGAAGTAGAGGCGTCGTCTTTGGTTGGTGGAATATATGGTGGATCGAATTTTAAAAATTGAATTAATTGACCACTGGATGGTACACCATAGTAAAGATTACTGATGAAACATTGTAATAATGTATCACAAATGAATACTTCTTTGTCGGTATCTGATACTCCAATTCTATATTTATCTTGGAAATAAACAAATGAAAAAATTGATAATAAATATGTGGCCTGTAAAATAAATATACCCATTACAATTAACGACTTTTTGTTTAATGTAATTGCTTTAATAACCAACGACAAGGCTTTTGTATTTAAACTGAATTGGAAGATATGGAAAGCGAAAAAGTATGGACTAATTACCAAACCAAATATTGAACAAATTACTGATAAAATATTATAAAGTGATTTTAAATCTACCAGTATAAATTTAATATTTAATAGTATAAATTTATATTTAAAAATTTGTCTTAGCGATTCCTAAATTATGAAAAAAAAAAAAAAAAATTAGTATATAAAAATTATGTGTATTATTAATAAATAATATTTACCATTCTTTTATCATTTGTAAAAAACATATAATTTTTTTGATGACCATGATATTTTAGATAACTAACCCAATTTTGATATAAGAGCACAGGCCCTTTTCTTAAAAAGAAACCAATACAAGATAATATACAAAATATAGTTTGTAAAACTGCTATTGGTAAAAATGCAGAAAACCATTCGGTAGTACCAAATTCATCCTTGAAATCGTTTAATCTTGTATTTCCTTTTGAAAATATAATTAATAATAAATTTATTACCAAAGCCAAAAAGAATGATAAAAATTTAAATTTATCACTATGAGATACCAATAAATATGACCTAAAAAGAAAAAAAAAGTTAATAAATAAATTTCTTTTATATTTTCTTTTATATTTATAAATATTATTATTTTTTACATACAAAGAATTTGATTTTAATTTATGAATATGTTCCAATTCAATTAGTTTATATTCGGACCAATCAATGAATGCATCTAATTTCTCGGTTGCTTTATTCCAACTAATTTTATTATTAATGAAATGCTCTTCCAAGTTTTCTTGTAATAAATTTTCATCAGATTTGATTTTTGATTGTTCTTTATCTTCTAAAATTAATCTTCTTGAATAATTTGGAATTGGGAAATAAATACGCTCTAACTTGTCTTTATAAAATAATTCTACTCTACCAATTCTAGATTTGCAATGTTCACCACATTTTAATAAACATTCTACCAATTTACGATTTTGGGATTTGTCATTATCTGCTAAAATTTTAATTAATCTAAAAGACATTGAAGCCAATTTAATTGATTTCTCATTAATTTCATTATTTGAACGTTGTGAAATTAATTTAGTATTAAACTCGATAACGCTATAATCCAATTCTGGAATTAATTTACTGATAACTCTTGGATCCTCTTTGTCAATGACATGTAATAAGAAATCGACCACTTCAATCTTGAGATCTAGATATTTGGACTCTTTCAATTCTTTGGTTGGATCAGTTCCTTTCCTTAAGATGTTGCATACGGCTTTACATACTTGAACGTTGGTGACTGCAATTTGGTTCTCTGGAGTATTTTTAACAATTTCTTTCATACATGAGAAAAATCTTAAACCCAATTCAATAGATTCTTTATCAATTGATACAATTGTTTCAAGGATTTTTAAAAATTGGCATAACTCTTTCAAGATATCATATGATTTATAATTGTCTGGTTGAGAACGAATGTTCTTTTTGAAAATATTTGATGAACCACCTTGGCATAACAATTGTAAAACTCTAAAGATATTTGATAGTAATTGGAACTCTGTGGCATATGGGTTTGATTCTACTAAAACATTATGGTTCTTGATATTATTGTTAATACCAACTGAACGGTTCTTTGTTGAGGATGAAATAGCGCCACTAATATTAGCACCACCAAATTTATTTGTTTCGAAACGATGAATATTTCTCTTGGTATCTTTTAAGTTAATTTTAGCACGCTCTACCATATTGAAAATATCTCTAAAGAATTGAATATCTGGTGATGATGAGAAATGACTTTGAATATCGTCTTTGACCTTATAGTTTGGTGTTGGATTATCGGTGGAGACACTATCATCCAACAAAGCTAATAACAATGCCAATGCTTCAAATGAAATTTCTGTATTATTTGATGATAAAAGACCAATGACTGCTGGATGACAATAAAGATCTGCCATAATATTTTGAATAATTCTCTTTCTTTCTTTGTTGATAAACAATAGAGATAGTAAAATTCTTATACAATTTAATTTCATTTTATCATTATCGTACAATGAATTTCTTAATTGGAAAACTAGAATCTCTAAATAATTAATAGATTTATCATTGAATGAAGCTTGCTGGAGTTGGTGGGGTTGTTGTATTTGGTGGTTAATCGATTGTTGGTTGTTAATATTAATTTGTTGTTGTAATTGCTGTTGCTGTTGTTGTTGAATTAAAAATTGTTGGTTTATAGATTGTTGATTATTAATATTAATTTGTTGCTGCTGTTGTTGGAAATTTAACTTCATAGTAAAGAAATTCTTTTTAGTTGTACCTGAACCGTTATTGGCACCTCCTAAACTATTACCAAAGCTATTGTCACGACTACTGCTAGCAATATTTGAATTATTCATTTGATTTTGGTTTATAAAATCGAAATTAAGAGAATTGTTACGTGATTTCTTATTGTATTTGATAGAGTTGATAGAATGACTAAATGATTGATTTTGTTGCTCCTGTTGGTGTTGGTGTTCTTGTTGCAAAAGTTTTTCGACTAAATGTGGGGTAAATGGAATCGATTGGTTAATCATTTGAGCAATTTCTGTATATCCTCTTATCTTTGATAACTTGACAAAATTATTCTCTTGATAGTGTTGGCTGTTGTTATTTGATAAAAATTTATAACTAGATTTCATAATTGGCGAAGATGATGGCGAAGTGGATGATGAAGAGTCAATGGTTTCGGATCTAACTCTGTTAGCTGGACCGTTCCATTTTAGATTGGTGCTTCCTTCTAAATTTTTAATAACTTTTTCACAACCATCAATAACTTCGGTGATTGATAAAATTGAAACATTTGGCGAGGTTACAGGTGATAATGCCGAACGATCCATGGCCTTCAAACATTTGGTTAAATTTGAAAAAATTGAAATTTTCTCTTCAATTTCTAAATCTTGAATTATTGGATGTAAACCACCAATACTTATAGAATCATCATTATTTTGATTTAATGATAAATTAGCAGCAGATTGGTATCTTGAGGTAGCTTGTGATGTAAATGGTATGGCTATTGATGGATCTACACAATATAGCTTCATAAGTGTGGCCATCAATCTACCGCTGTACTGTAGATGAGTTTGGGTTGCTTTGTCGAAATAGAAACACTGTGAATAGAAACGTTCTAAAATTGATAGCATTGGCAATATAATGTTTCTAGACATTTGAATAAAATAAACTAGACCTAAATGATTCTTAATATATGAAATGTACAACTGGTTTAATTGATTGGTAAACTGATCAATTAGACTCCATAAATCTTGATTTAGTTGTAATGCCAATAAATCCCCTTTGAGTGTATCTGAATTAAAGAAAACTTCATGAAGGAATGATAAATAAGCAGACTTGAATCTAAATAATAGATTATTTTCTAAATATTCATTTGTACTTTCGTGGACCATCATTGAACTATTTTCTCTGCCATTACCATCGGATCTAACCACCAATACATCAAAACATTCTGACATTGTGAGGAACTCTCTGCAAATTACTTCAGTGGGTGTATTTTTACCATGTGAACAAGATTTTAATAATAAAATTAATTCCAAGTTGATGACAAATTCTTTGGGTAAAGTTTCTACAGATGAATTTAAAATTTGAGCTTTTGCTTCGGATCTAATTAATTTTGGTTGGTTAGATTGTTGGTTGGACTGTTGGTTGGACTGTTGGTTAGACTGTTGGTTAGACTGTTGGTTAGACTGTTGGTTAGATTGTTGGTTGGACTGTTGGTTGGACTGTTGGTTAGACTGTTGGTTAGACTGTTGGCTAGACTGTTGGTTAGACTGTTGGTTGGACTGTTGGTTGGACTGTTGGTTAGACTGTTGGTTATTATTGCTTTTTGTAGTTTGGTTTGTTGAATTGGCTCCATCTAAATATTCCAATAAGGTTTTATTTAAAAGTTCTTTTAGAGCTAAATGTAACTTGTATTGATTGCTCGAATTGACATTGTAATACTTTGTTAAAAGCTTTGAATCTTTCATTACATCTTTGACAATATTGATTGGAATTAAAAGCTTTGAAATCTTTAAATGGTTCTCTTTGAATAAATTGGTGATAACAATTTGATTTTCAATTACACTATTATCATTACCTGGTAAAATCAATATTGATAACAATCTAAGGAATAATGGATCTAACTGCTCTATTGACAAATTGATGATAAAATTGACAAGAATCTTTAAGTATGGAGAGCTACCAAATTGAACACATAATTCTAAATTGTTTTTAAATATTTCGATTAATGTTTCGACTGTACCAAAAACATTTCCGTATCTAATCAAATGACCAATTAAAAATTCTATTTCTGTAAATAATACTTTTTGATTTTCACTGTTATCTCTGCAAAACAATTTTAAAACTTCATAACAACTTTTAAAAATTTTTGAAACAAAAATTGATTGTAAAGAATTTAAATTATTTGAATTATTACTCTTTGCATTATTATTATTTAATAATAATATATAATTAATTTGGTTATTATTATTATTATTGTTATTACTATTATTGTTATTGTTATTATTGGTATCGTCGTCTGTTGTTGTTGTGGTAGTTGTTGTACTAGTTGGTATATTAGTTAAAGTTTGATTCAATGGGTTATTATTATTTGTAGTAGAAGTAGATATTGTTGATGTCTTTTGCTCAGATACTAAATCATCCAATGAACAACCAATTTTTAAAACTGAAGTAATTGTTTTATGAGTATTTAAATTTTTTAATAATTTTTGATTTTTTAATACCCTTGAAGGGTCATTATTATCGGAACATAGATTGATGAAATAAGATAATGATTTTAAACAGTCTTTGGTTTTTATGTCATCCAATAATGGAACAAAACAAGTTTCTGTTAACTTTTTCAAACTCTGAAGTGATTCTTCATAATCAACAGTTAAATCATCTGATAAAATAAAAATCTTTTGGATTGGACCCCATAACATCGAGTAAATAGATCGGTATTTATAAATTCTATTTAATAAATTTAAAGATAAGCTTGAGAGATGATTATTTTCGTGTTTTAAAAGCTTCAATAGGTCATTACACAATTTGAGATCTTGATGAGCATCACGTTGATAGTTGTTCTTTAACTTTTCTGTTAATAAATCTTTAACTAAGTCTGGTTGATCGATTTTTTTTTTCATATTTGAAAAATCGAAAAGGAATACATCCATAATATTCTTTTTTTGAAGACTTAACATTAAATGGAGAATATTTAGAATTTCAATCTTTATATTTACAAAAATAATTGAGTCATCTTCTAACATTCTTGATCCACCCATAGTTCTACCCAAATCGATTTCTTTATAATTTGATTGGCTTGGTTCATGTTCGAAATTTAGAATATAAATTAATCTTTTTAATAATAATTTCTCTTTATTTTTAAAAAACCCAAATTTGAAAGCATATCCAACAGCAATTAAAATCTATAATATAAATTATAATTTAAATTTAAATTAGTATAAATATTTTTAATCATTATGGATTTTGTTATAAAATAATAACAATTAAAAACTAAAGAAAAATGCTGGAAATATAAAATAAAATAAATCTTACTTTATGGAAAAATGATAATTGTGGTCTATATGAAGTTGGGAAAGTATTATTAATGTTTGAAAAATATTCAGATTTTGATAATAAATTAATTAATAATTGGGTGGTTGTCGATGGCTCTTTAATATCTTGAGGTATTTCATTTGAAAAAGTGCTAAAGATTTCATCCTCTCTAAAAATTGACAATGAGTTTGTAGTTTGAATATTATTACTTGAATGAGTTTGCAATAATAAATTTGAACCTTGTGAATTATTTGTACCATTATTATTTGTATTAGTATTATTATTTGTATTATTACTTTGTTGATTAATATTTGTTTGTGATGTTATTAAAGAATTTAAAGCAGTTGATTGATTTAAATTTTGATTATTGTTATTATTGTTGTTATTAGTTGCAACGGTAGATTGTTGCAATAGATTACCACCATTATTATTATTATTATTATTATTATTAACGTTATTATTAGTGCCAATATTAAAACTTGTTGGAGTATTGTTGTAACTTGGTGTTATATTTGGCATAAAACTTTGAGAAACTGTACCACCTGGATTATTGTTTAAAATTATATTATTAAAATTTTGTTGTTGTTGTTGTTGCTGTTGTTGATATAATTGTAAATAATGAGAAATTCTTTCTTTTTGGAATATTGTTGGGTGCCAAATATAATTAATTTGTGGTACATAGATTTGAGGGTGGCAATCCATATATACATGAATTAAAATATTGATATAACAACCTCTTAAACTATATGGCAATGACTCTTCTTTCAATGCTATTAAGCACTCTTTGTGTGAAGTTCTTTGACCTACTAATCTGATACCATTGTAATTTCTACCTTTTGAAACATTTGCATATAATGATAAAGTTTGTTCAAAAAATCTATGGGTCTTTTCATCTACTGACAAAGCAAACGAAGAAATATCGGTCCATTTACCATTAGCTTTTTCTATCTCTAAATTGGCACCAACCACTCTAGTATTAAAGAGGAGTGAAGAATTTTTTTCTAATAAAATATCACAGAGATATTGCTGGTTCTTTACTATAGGTTTTCCAAAGCATGTACATATTTCACTTAATAGCTCCATATACTTTGGCTCTTTCTTTACCTTGATGACTTCTATAAACTCCAATACCTTATTCTCTGTTAAAGCCTCCAATAAAATATTATTATTTTTATATACTTCGTAAAGAATAGCGCCAAAATGCAAAGGTATGGTCTTTTCACGTATTGAAGGTGGAGAAATTTGGTCCAAATAGCCATTGATTATAATACTATTCTTGACATTTGATTTTGCCATTTGTTTTAATAAACGATAAACAAAGAGTATCGATGCGGCATCCCATGGTTCAAATAGACGTTTTAAATATTCTAAAATGACCAAAAAATGTGATGGATGTGATAGTAACTTTTGATGAGTCTTTATTGGAGTACCCTCCCTATCCAATGGATCCTCAATCTCTGACTGTGTACAAAACTTTATAAATTCAACAATTATAACTTTAATTTCTTGAATTGTAATCTTTTTTTGAATAATTGGTAAACCTGTTGCAGTCGATATTAGCTGTGGCATATTTGTATTCATTACCATGGACCCACCATTAGGATTTGGATTTGAAAAAGCACTTGTTGATGATAAATTTAAAAGTGCACCTGTTGAACTAGTTGATGAATTTAATGAGTTTGATGAATTTGTGTTTATTAAATAATTTTGAATCTTGAAAATTCTACTCTGTACGAAATTATAATCATCTAATTGTGATTTAGGTATCTGCTTAATTTGAAAATCATCATTTTTATAATATTTTTTACTTCCTACCAACTATTAAAAAATTTTAAATATTAATATATAAATAAATATTATTTTTTTTATAATATTTTTATAATTAATAATTACCTCTCCATTGTGATGAAAAGTTTCATCTGAAATAAAATGTAAAAATAGTTTGCTTTGTGATTGAATTCTAACAAAAGAACCAAATAAAATATCATCGTTTGTAGTTGAAGATTTATCTCTGGGAATAAAACAAAAAGTTGAATTTGGTGAATATTTTTGATCCTCGGGCACAACTATTAATGGTGATTCTTTATGATCCTCAATAACCTCTGATAATGATAAATATTTTCTAGTACCAACTAACCTAATCCAAAAATTTTGATTAAAATGTACTTCGTTTGATGTTAAATATTGTTGTTGTTGTTGCTGTAATATTTGCTGTTGCTTTTCTTTTTCCTTATCTTTTTGCTTATCTCTGTCTTTATCTTTATCCTTTTGTTTATCTTGTTTATCTTTACTGGTTTGATTTCTTATTATTGGTGAATTTAAATTTAAGTTTTCAAATTCGAGTTCGAACAATGAGTTTATAGAGGATGGGGTTTTTGTGTTGTAAGAGAATGTTGTATTATCGTTATTGCTGACCTTGACAAAGCCACCCTCTCTGTGGAATAAACGAAATGGCACATTTTGCTTTAAAGTGTTCAAACCAGATTTACCTTCTACATCAGATATCGACATTTTCCAATAAGTACCAGTCTCTGATAACCCAATATCCACACCCTGGCCATTTGAAGATGAATTTGTTTCCTTTAAAAATAAACCAGTTTTTTCATGTCTTAATAATACTAAATCGTCACTGTATACCTTTGAACCATCGAGATTTTGAAACCTTGGTGTAATTTTAAAATAACATTTTTGATCACCATCTTGACGAAAACCTACAATTTGAGTCGATTGGGATTTCTTTTCACCTTTTGCAAATAAAAATTGATTGGTTGATGGTTGATGTAATTGAATTATTTGGCCATAAACTAAATCACGACCTTCTAATTGAATCAACGTTGATTCATTATTTACATCTTCTAAATCTTGATACTCTTCTAATTGCTTTAATTCTAAATCGGATATCTCTGTATTATTATTATTATCTTTATCCTGTTTATCCTGTTTATCTTGCTTAAATATATTATTATCTTTTAAATCGTTATTGGATTGTTGCTGTTGCTGTTGTTGCTGTAATTTCTTTTTGGCTTTCTTTTTTAAAGCTTTTCTTGCTGTATATTGTGTGAAAGGATAAATTTTGAAAACACAGTCTTTGGATTTATTTGAACTTAATATTGCATTGTCGTGCTCTTTGCAAAAATACCCATCTTCTTCTTCTTGCTCTGAAAAAAATGTTACCAAATCACCAGTTTTTAAATTTATTTTACTTTCTTCCATTAATTATTATTATATTATTATTATTATTAATTATTAATGTATATATATATGTTGTTATATTTACTATTATTAATTATAATAATAATTAACTTTAAATATTTTTTACTATTACAATTTTATTTATTACAAAAATAAAAAAAATATAAATCTTTTAAAATAAATAAATATGAAACAATTATGTAAAAAATAAATGTTTTAAACAAATAAAATAAAATAATAAAATTTTATTCTATGTGGCTTGATATGTTGTAATTAAAAAAATTAAAAAAATAAAAAAAAAATAAAACTGTGTGAAATCAAACTTTTTTTTTTATTTTTATTTTTATTTATAATAAAATAATTTAATTTTTTTATTTTTTTTTAAGATTTATTAAAAAAAAAAAAAAAAAATAGATTTGGGTATTATAAACTATTTTTATTTCTTTTATTTATGTGTGTATGTAAAAAATATAATTATCATAAAAAATTGGAAAAAAATAGAAAAAAAAATAAAAAAAAAGAAAAAAAAAAAAAAAAAAATTTTTTTAAAATTTAAAAATAATTTTTTATGATAATTTTTTTTAATTTTTTATAAGTTTAACTCCTTACCATCCCATTATTGTTGATATTGAGTCTTATCAAAAATTTGTGAATGTCAAAAAAAAAAATTAAATTATTTTAAAAAAAATTTACTGGTTTTCTCACCGTTAGCGGATTGGGCTAAAGCGAGAACAACATAATACCCTTTCGAGATATTATTGAAATTCAATTATAATTATTGCTATAAATAAAATAATTAATTAATTAATTATATATTTAGAAAAAACATAAAAGAGGAAATTTGAATTTTATAATAAAAAATAAATAAAAAATAGGGGTTCGAAAAAAAACATTTGTTTTTTTTATTATAATAATTATTTTTTGTAATCTATTAATAGTATACATAAATTGTAAATTTAAAGATTGATATTATTATAATAATTGTTTTTTTTAATTTTTTTAATATAGTAATTTGTTTATTTTTTTTTTTACTTTTTTAAGCTATTATTATTATTATTAATCTCTATTATTTGTATATTTCTTTTTATTTAAATCAAATGGAATATATTTATATTTAATCATATGCTTAATTTGTTTTTTCATTGTAACGGTAAAGATAATAATGAAGTAAATTAAAAGAATTGGCCAAAATACTGGTAAATCTAAAAATGGAATAAATGTGCAAAAAAGTGCAATTGATAAAGCTCTGATAATTGAATGCCTACAATAAAGAAATACTGTTAGTATAATTTAAATATTATTTGAATTATATTTATTATAGTTATTATTATTATAATTATAATTATTATTATTATTATTATTATTATTATTATTATTATTATTATATGTTGATAATAAACTTACCAAAAATGGAATTCTGGTAATCTTCTAATGAATGGTTTTGCTTCGTCATCGTTTCTTGATAAAGTAGTTGGTAATGATGCACCTGTATCATCTTCGAGTTCTGGGTCCCATTTTGGGGATAAAAATGCAATTAATTTAGTCAATAAAAATATACCAAGTGCGTATGTAATAACATACCATCCACCTTGTGATAAATAAACTCTAATAATATATAAAAAGAATAAAACTGTTTATAGTTAATAAATTATTTTCAAATTTTCGTATTATTATTATTATTGTTTTTATTTTTATAATAATTGTTTTTATTTGTTTTTATTTTATTGTTCTTATTATTATAATTATGATATTTTACATCCAGCGAATGCCCATCTTTGTGGAATATGTGAAATAGTTCTTTCGATAAGATTTTGATATTTTCTACCAACTAAAGTAGAAAATGATACAAAATTATGTGGAGCTGGTAATCCTTCGTCAATTGTGGTTGGGGCCATTATATATTAAATAAATATATTAATTAATATATTTTAAAAATAAATAAAATAAAAAAATTTAAAAATTTAAAAAAAAAAAAAAAAATTTAAAAAAAAAATTTAAAAAAAAAAAAAAAAATTTAAAAAAAAAAAGAAAAATTTTTTATTTTTTTAAAAATATAAGTATTAATAATTTTTTATTTTCAATAACATTCATAAAATGCATACTTAAGAAATATTAAAAAAAATAAAAATTATATTTATGATTTTAGTAAGTTTTGTTACCATTATAAATGGTATTTAGCATTGAAAAGAAGTACAATTTCTATCATCCATTGAAAGGTTGGTCTCATAGTTTCAAAGTCTTGGTTACTCCTGTTTTCAACTCCAAAAAGAGCCAATGTCCACCCCTCTATATCAATAAAAAAAATCAATATATATATCGAAAAAAAGAAATTTAAATAATAACACTAATTAGCTGGCTATGTGTATTCATATCCATCTATATTACATATGCTTGAGGAAGGCGAAGACAGGGGAAACTCTAGTGAGCTTGTCGCAATGGACCAAACTCGCCTCACTAGAATATGCAAGAACGATCCAATCAAACTACAACAGCTTCCTAAAAGTAGACGAGCGTGAGACCAAACCCTAACCCCAATTCGTTCGCATGACCCCAAAAAAAAAAAAAAAAAAAATCTTTATGGAGATCTTATACTTTTGGTGCAAAAAAGAATCGCCTAGACATGGGATCGAACCATGGACCTAGCGGTTAACAGCCGCTCGCTCTGCCTACTGAGCCATCCAGGCATTTTTGAGTTTGTGTTAAATAACAACCCTATTGGGGGTGAAAAAAAGGGATGTAAAAATAATTTGAATTGACCGAGTCGAATAGTAATACTTTTTATCACTAATTTGTGATAAAATAATTATAAAATAAAAAATTTTCAAAAAATTGATTTTTTCTATTTTTTTTTTTTTTTTTTTTTGGATCAAAAAAAATAAAAGTCGATTAACCTTTGCTCCATTCGAATGGGTAATATAAAATTTCGTGGTTAATGATTAATACAAAAAATTGGTTTTGAACATATATTACATAGCAATAAATAAAATTCTTTTTAAACTTTGCTCTATTCGATAATGAATTTACTATTAATTAGAACTCCTAATTTATATGTTCAAGCCTTATCAGGTACTTATACTACTATTACAAATCATTTTGCCTATATCAGTTTTATTAAAAAAAATAATAATTTTTAATTAAAGAAACTAATACAGCATAAATTTTTTTTTTTTCTTTTTTTTTTTTGGATTTAATTTTATAATTATATTATTAAAGTTATATTAATAGTTTTAAATTCAATATTAATTGTTTTGGGAAAATAATCTTTATTATTGATGTTCCTGCTAGTAAATAAAATGATTTAGAAAGTGCTAGATTTAATACTCATATCTTTACTGTCATTAGTTCAATTATAGTCTTGGTTACAATTTTAAAAATTAATTAAAGAAAAAAAATTAAAATAAATTGTATATATTTTACTGGCATTATCAAAAAAAAAATTAAAAAATATTATAAGGGATCTTCCTTGGATTAAAAAAAAAAAAAATCTTATTTTTTTTTTAAATTTTTTTTTAAATTTTTTTTTAATTTTTCTCAAAATTTTTTTTTTTTTTTTTCAAAACTAAAATTATAATGGAAAATCAACAAAATGGAAATTTAACTAATCCTCACATCTTTGAGGTGATGGGAACAGTCGCAAATAACCCACATTCTACTACTACCAATGTAACAGATGCCCCTAAAGAATGGTACTTGACACTTTTTCAAAATGAATCATCTGTTGCATTCCAAAATAGAACAAACAGAGATGTAGATATTATTATTTTTGGAGGAACAAAAAAATTTAATATTGCAGAGGGTGAAGTAGTACCACCCCATTATAAAATGGAATTTAGCATTGAATCACATAGTAATAAAGAAATTATTCCTCTCTCAGATGAAGGTGAAATATTTGTAACATATAAAGTTGGTGAGATGATTCAATTTGTTATCAGAAGACCTTTAAAATGTGGTAACTCCTTCAATGTTTTAGATCGTCACTTAGATATTATCGAAGAACCTCTTAATAGAGAAGAGTTTGAAAACGAGTTTCTTTTGAACTATCCAAATTATACAAACGTTCCAGCTAGTGAAACAAATTTTTAAAAAAAATAAATAAATTTACCTCTTATATAATTATTTTTATATATGTATATGTATATGTATATGTATATTTATTTATTTTTAGCATGACATTGTTTTTTTTTTGTAAATAAAATAAAGCTTTTATAAAAAATAAGTTTATTTTATTTTCTTATGTTTTTTAAAAGAGTTGTTTTAGATGAAAATTTTTTATAAAACCAAGTCATTTTAAAGAAGTTTTTTGGTCCAAATACCTAGCTTTAAAATATTAATATTGTTAACAATTATATTAAAATAAATACATAAAATCTTTATTAAAATAGTTTAAAATACACTTTGAGGTCCAAACATCCTAACATCCTTGAATTGAAGCAACTGCTACAAGTTTTTGGCAACCATTTCCTTTTGTACTGGTTCCTGATGTTACTAAAACACTTTTATCTTCTAAGAACCTCTAAGCTACATTGTATATTCCACCGAAGGTACTTTAAGCAAGAAGGAAAAATGCAGATTCACTAATATCGATTTTATTTGGCCTACATGTTGGCCACCTATCAACTACTGTAGTTACAACCCAAAAAAATCTTTGTATCTCGTTTATTTAGGGGTAAAATAAAAAACAAAACTTAATTTAAATCTTTTTTTCTAAAAATTAAAACTATTGTGTAATATTATCAAACCATTATAAAATCAATTTTCTTTTTTTAGAATAAATTTTTTATAACATTAAAGAAGGAAGAATCAAGAAATATGATAAAATTCATTCAATAGGTAATAATTCCATTTAAATATTCATAAGGAAAGGTCTTTACTTTTATCACTGTTTCATGCTTCTCTGGGCTTTTTAGATTAACTTTGTTTATTTAAAGGTGAAAATCCTCTTTTTTCTTTCTTGGTGCTCATTTAATTGATAGTAATTGGTTATAGTAATCTTAAATTCAACAATCGAAATTTTCAAAAATATTAAAAGCTCACAAATTTATATTTTATTATGGTAAATATGCATATTTCAATTAATAACCCAAAATCAAGGGGTTAAAATATAATGTTTAATAACAAATTCTCAAAACTTAACCCCAATAAATTTAAAAAATAAAACTGTTTTTTTTTTCAAAAAAATACAAATTTATTTTTATTTCTCTAATTTAACACTATAAATAAAATCTCTTTAAATCTTTGTGTAAAAAAAAAAAAAATTGGTGTTAATAAAAAAAAGAATAATAATTATTAAAAATAATTTTTTTAATATTAAATAGCTTCATCAAATAATTTTCATAAATGGTTTTTTTTTTCTTTTTTTATTAAATAAAAGTTAAAAATCAAATATAAAATGGCTTTAGTAAGTGGATTATGTAGTATATTTGAAAGAGATGTTGTACGTATTTAATTTATAGTTAAATAAAATTTATTTTAATTAAAATAATATCTATCCTGATTATAATATTTTTAGGAAATCATGTTACAAATATATGACAGAGATGGAAACAAAAGTTAAACTGGTGCTGAAATTTCACTGGTTTTTATGTTTTATATTCATTAAGTCTCTGTATATCTTCTTTAGTTAGACAGTCATGCTTTAGTTGTTTTTTGTATTAATTGCTAACCACGAATTTTTGGCTTACCCCTTCAATAAGAATGGTGCAAAGGTTAACACGACTTTTAATAATTTATTTTTAGAAAATATAATTTTGATTATTTAATTTTAGTTATTTAATTTTTGTTGAATAATTTTTGTTATTTAATTTTTATTTGTAATTCATCAATAAAGTTCTGTAGTTTTCCAGGTGTATTGGTATTTTCACTAAATAAATCTAAATTCCACCTTGTGTACTTTTTTTTTAAATATTATCTAAGCCTGGATGGCTCAGTAGGCAGAGCGAGCGGCTGTTAACCGCTAGGTCCATGGTTCGATCCCATGTCTAGGCGATTCTTTTTTGCAACAAAATTTTTAGATCTCCTTAAAGATTTTTTTTGGGTCATGCGAACCAAGCATGGGGATAATTAGACTTTACGGATTAGCACTTGTGTCCAGTTGTTTCCATAAGCTGACGGAAAAGAACCCACCAAATCTTTTCTTTATCTAAAACCATTCAACGATACCATTGTTGGTTGGCCAGAAAAATGTCTGATATTAATCAAATAGTTGATCAAATTTTAGTTGGTAAACCTATTTTATAAATTAATTTGTGTCAGTAATGTTGATTTTTTCCTTTTATTTTTAAAGATTTTGTTAGTTTATCTTAATTTACTTACTTACTTGCATCTTATATTGTTTACATTAAAATATAATTATTGCATTTGTGTGGTGCAAAAAAAAATAAATATAATAAAAATTTTTTTTTTTTATAATATTAAAAAAAAAATCAAAAAAATATAAATAAATTGAAATTATTATTTTTATAAAATATAAAAAACATAAATGAATTGAAGTTATTATTAAAATATAAAAACTAATGAATTGAAATTATTATTATTAAAATATTTAAAATTTTTAAATGAATTGAAATTATTATTTTTATAAAATAAAAAAATTATAAATGAATTGAAGTTATTATTATTAAAATAAAAAATATAAATGAATTGAAATTATATTATAATTATTTTTTATATAGATAAAATAATTTACATTTCTCTTTTAGAAATTACTTTTTTTGAAAATGGATAATTTATTAAATTAATTCAAATAATATTTTTTAAAATAGGCGTTTTGGGAAGTTGATGGTTTCTGGTAATTTGTAAATAGTGGATATAATTTATATGATAGATTGATAATGGCTTGTATTTAGTTGTTTATCGACTTTTAGGTTGTTGTTATAATTTGATTGGATCGTTCTTGCATATTCCATTGAGGCAAGATTGATCCATTTGTGTTGGATGTCATAATAAATTAATGGTTTAGATATTGCATTTTGGTCAATAATTTGGCGTATGCCCAAACCCAGACTTGGTTGAAGATAATTAAAATCATGTTTCTTTAAGTCTGTGTTCCATCAAAATCGAGATCTCTGTAACACCAACTGATGGTTCTTCTTGAGGTGTAACAGTTACCACATTTACTTTTTTTTTTTTTAAAAGTGAAGATAATTAAAAGCAAATGCTTTAAATTAATCAGTAAAATACCACATTTACATTACAGAAGGTGTATTTTGTAGTCGTATTCGCTGCCACCGTAGAATTTATCGAATTAAGTTTTTTTTAAAAAAAAACTCCGGAAAGATGGAATATCATTAAAACCTCCCCATTCGGGAATCGAACCCGAGGTACCAGTGTGAAAGACTAGAGTGTTACCGACTACACCAATGAGGATATTGGATGAATATTTTAAAAACTTGTGAGATTGGGAATTTTATAAAAACTGGAAAAATTATTAACCCAAATCCTTTTGGTCAACCTCACCATTCAAAGAAGAAAGTAATTAAGCATAGGATAATTATTTATATAAAAAATAAAAACATATATTAACTAAAATTTAGAAAATAAAAAATAATTTATATATAAAATTTGTGTTTACCTTCCTATCAAATCGAAGAGATAAGCCAAAAATCCGTAGCTGGCGATTAAAAAAAAGAACCTAATAAAAGAAATTTATTAATATATACTATTAATTTAAAATCCTACTTTATATTTATTCTGCAAATGGAAAATTTTATTTGAACAACATTAATTAAATTCTTTGTTTATTCAAATTGAATTCAAAAATTTGTGATTATAGAATAAAACAAAAAAATTATTTAAAACAACAATACATTAGAAAGATTGATTAAATGACCAAACTCAAACATTCACTGTACTCAACTACCTAAATCTAGAAATAACTACTTTAGAATAAAAACCTGTAAACGGTCAGATATTCATATTAAATAAAAACTATAATGAGTGTTAAAAAATTTTCGTTTATCTCAAAATAATTATTTTTTTATTTCAGCAACCACTAATACCTTTATCCATCGAGAAGATAACAAATGATTATTTCCTACAAACAATTAAAGAATACTATACCACTATCAATAATTCTTTTTAATTTCTTTTATTTTATTCTTTTTTTTTTTAATTAATGAATTGCTTTATATTTTTATTTAGAAAAAAAATTTCTTGTGTTTATGTGATTTGATTATTATTATCACATGTTCTTTCATATTTACAAATGATTTGCACTATACATAATGGGTATCTTTGTGAAGTTTTATTACTTTACCATTTAAATTAAATAAATAAAAAAATAAAAAAAAAAAAATGAAAAAATTTTAATTTAAAATAAAAAAAAAAAAAATATTAAATTTTATTTTACGGTGTAGGTTATACTTTTAGACTTTAATGACGTTTTGTTTATTTTGATGGTGATATATGTAATAATGTTCTGAACCAAAAAATATTTCAAAAAAATTCAAAAAAAAAAATTTTAATTTTGCTAATCTTTTAATTTTTTTTTTTTTTGAATTTTTTTATTTTAATTTATAAAAAAATTATTATAATAATAATAATTAAAAAAAAAAAAAAAGTAATCATTATAATTTTTTTTTTTTTTCATTATACAACAACTATTGTTATTATTTTTCGATAATTAGTTTCACACACAAAAATCTTTTTTTTTTTTTTTTTTTTTTTTTTTTAAATTTTTATTTAAATTTTATACCAATTCCCACACCCACACACAATTAAAATATTTATACAAATAATAATTTAAATTTTATATATAAATAAAATATAGTAACTAAATAATAAAAATATGTTTAAAAAATTAGATAAGTTTAAAGAAAAAATTAGCTCTGGTGTTTCCAATGTCACCGGATCAAAAGATAAAGAAGAAATTACCTATGTAATTCAGCCAGCTGATTGTGCACAATTAGTAGGTGGATTTGGAATTGGTTTGGGGTTAAATAATGAAAATCAATTATCACAACCATCACCAATTAAAGAATGTAAACAACTAGTATCAATCCCATCAACATTTAAATTAGATATTGCCAATGTTTCACTTGGTAATGAACATTCATTTTATCAAACTAGTAAGTTTATCATCATTGAATAATTTATATATCCATTTAATAGCAATAGTATATATTTATTAATATTTATAATTATAGAGGATGGTAAATTTTTTTATGCAGGATCCAATAAAGAAGGTCAATTTGGTACTATCAGTGCAATTCATGTTGATTCATTAACACAATATAATAATTCACAAATTAAATTTAAAAAGATTATTTGTGGACAATATCACACTGCATTTATTAGTGATAAAGGTCAAATCTATACAGCTGGAAAATCTGATCTTTTAGGTATTCGTTCAGATGAATCTAAAAAAACACCAACTCTCATTCCAGCATTAGCAGATCAAAAAATTGAACTTTATGCAACTGGTCCAAGACATTCATTTGTAGTTACTAAAGAAGGTCATTTATATGGTTGGGGTAAAAGTGACAATTTAGGTGTTGGTAGCTTTGTTAAAGTTAAGAGAGTTACAACAATTACACATGAACCTACTATTGTCGATACCTGTGCTGCATTTTTATCATTCAAAATTGTACAAATTGCAATTGGTGATGATCATACATTAGCTCTTTGTAGTAAGTACATAAATAAAAGTATTATAAATAATCATAAATCATAGTAACCAATTATAAATTAATTTTATTTAGATAATGGAGATGTTTATGCATGGGGTAGAGGCGAAGAATTCCAATTAGGTAATAAAACAAAAGAAACAAGAGCATCACCAATTTTAGTAGAATCATTAAGATCATTAAATATTATAAGTATTCAATGTGGATCATTTAATTGTTCTGCATTAACAGATAAGAAAGAATGTTATATTTGGGGTCAATATGGCGAAGATTTAATTGCTACACCACAACCTCTTTGTCCAGGTGGATCAAGTCACCCATTTAAAGTTCAAGAAATCTCACAAAATGGTTTTTATAATATTTTCACAACCCTAGATAGTGATATCTATACATTTGGTATCGATTATAAAATGTTTAATAAATCTGCTTGGTTACCACTTTTACTTAAAATTGATGACCCACTTTTATTAAATAAAAGAATTACTCAAGTATCAGCCTCAGCTGCAGGTTATTACGGTAATTATATTTTATTATTATAAATTAAAATATTTATATACTAATACACTATTAATATTATTATTATTATTACTATAGTTATTATTTATGATGGATCAACTACATTATATGCTGAAATTGACTATTCAAAGAAAGGTATGAAACCAACTAAAACTTTATCACCATTACCACAATCACAATATGCCAAAGATAAAGAAGCTTTATTTGGTAAACCATCATCTTCATCATCATCATCATCAACCAACACAACAAGATCCAGTGGTGCTAGTCGTCCAAAGCGTGACGATGATGATAGTGTTTTATAATAAATATTATTACAATGAAATAAAATAAAATCAAAAACTTAAAAAAAAAATAAAAATAAAACAATATTTAATTTTAAATAATTATATTTATATTTATATATTTATACATTATTTTTTATTTTTAAAATTTAAATAAATAATATTTAAAATTAATTAGTTATATATGTGTGTTTCTTTAATTGGAGTAATAGTTAATTTTTGAATAAGATGATGGAGTTGGTTCGTGGGAAGTATCTAAATAATTTGGATAAACTTTTTTGTAAATTTCGATAAGTGCTACAATGGAGAAATAGAAACCAATTATACCAGAGAAAACAATGATAACTGGGGTTGGGACTTGACGAAGAACCATACCAGTGATAATAGATGCAATGGAAAGGGCAAAAGTAATACGACCAATGAACCAATGAAGAATATCTGGGAAAATTGGGGTCTTTTCTCTTGTTGGTTTCCAAAGGAAATGTGAAAGTACACCAAAAAGAATTGAAACAACTACTAAACAAAGAGTGATAATACCAAAAATACTGTGTGTGGTTGAGAAATCGAAGCCACCAACCATTTTAAGTGCCATGCCAAAACCAATTATTGCACAAATTGAAGCAAGACCATTGCAGACGTAATGAATTGGCCACCACCACATGAATACCTTTAAGAAACGTGCTGAAAAAATACTGAATGGCATTAAAAGACCAAAAGCAACACACATGAAACTTGCATGCCAGTCAACGTAATCGATGCCCTCTGATGCAACGATTTGGCCCTTTGAAAGATCGACTGTAACTCTACCTGAATTGCCAACACCATGATCACCAAAACCATTGCTTTCACCATGAGCCCAAATAAAATCGGTTGGTCCATCATAAAGAATACGATCACCACCTTTATCACCAGTTGATAATTTCTTTGAGAAAATCATAATTGAATAGCCGCTGGTTTGGTATGCGCTGTAAGAGATAATATCGTTTGTGAAACCTGCATCTGTATCGTTCATTGGTGTTCCATCAGGATTAACACAATCCCAAACTACACCATTACCATTACTATCGAAGGTTGCAATATTGTAATCGGCATTCTCCATTGCACCATCGCTAGAACAGCCTTTGCAATGCCATCCTAATGCGACCCATGCATTTTTATTTACTGAAACTTGGAATGTAATTGTGTCATTATTAAATATAACCCATTGCAAATTGTATCCTGAAGCTTCATTTAAAACAACACTATTTAATTGACCTATTAAAAATAAAATAATTATTAATACTTTTTTTTAAAAAAATAAAAAAAAACCTGGGTGGGGTGTGCATATTTAAATAGTTACCATTTGAAAAATTAATCAATAAAAATAGTGATATAAATATTTTAAATAACATTATAGATAATTATATATATTATTAGTTAATGATAACTAAAAGTTGTAAAAAAATTTTTTTTTTTTTTTTTTTCTATCAAATTCTTGTTTTAAAATGACCAGAAACAAAAAAAACAGTTTTTTTTAAAAAATAAAAAAAATATAAAATTAAAATTTAAAAAAAAAAAAAGTTATGTAAATTTTGGTTTTGAAATAATTAGTAATATTTATATTTTAAACAGAAAACAAAAAAATAAAATAAAAATAATTGAATATTTATTTATTGATTAATATTGATAATAAAAAAAAATAAAAAACCTTATCTATAAATCTATAAAAAAAAAAATATTTAAAAAAAAAAAAAAAAATTGAGAAATTATTTTTTTTTTTTTACACGTGTAAAAAAAATCTAAAGAAAAATCTAATTCCAAACATTCCATGGTAATCTTTTGTATTGTATAAAAAATAAAAATAGAACTGCGTTTTTTTTTTTCGAAAAGTTTAAAGAAAAATGATATTTTTATTTTAATACTGTATTTAAGTGATATCATAAAAAGATTTTAATTATTTTGTGCTGGGCATTGAATTTCTATTTTATTGGTTTCGAATGACCATTTTATAACATCTTTGTGATTCCAAAAATTATAAAGAATGGTACCCAAAATAAAAATGAAGAGTTTTAATATAAATTATATGAAAAAAAAAAAAAAAAAAAAAAATACGAAAATTGTGATTGGTTCGGAAAAAAAAAAAAAAAAAAAAAAGAAAAAAAGAAAAGAAAAAAGAAAAATTTTAATGAAAAAAAAGAAAATATAAATTTTATTTAAAACAAAAAAAAAAAGGAAACTAATAATTAATTATTGGTTAAATTATGTCATATAATAATTTTAAAAATTTTTTTTAAAAATTATTATGGAGGTGATTTAATTTGTGTTCTGATTTTGTTGTTGGTTTGAATTTGTATTTTGAGTTTTTTCAATTGCTATAATAATTGATGTTACAGTCATTTGTTGATTGTTAGACTCAAGGAAAGCTTTTGATACATCATTACTGCCATTTGGGAAATTATGAGTGTCAATTAAGAAATTAAATTTAAATGAAGAATTCTGGCCAAAAGTTGTTACATTTTGTCTCTTTAAAAGTTCTTCAGAGAAGGTTTGTTGGGTTGGAGTGAGTGAGAGACTCAATGTACAATTATTTACATAACGTGGTGAATGTGCTGTTGATGAAGGATTTGATTGGGATTTATTAATTAAAGTTCCATCTTCGCTTTGACCATTATTTTTATTATTGCTATTATCATTATTGCTCTTATCTGTATCCATATTGTTATTACTATTACTATTACCAATTTCAAACAAGTCAAAATCATCATCTTCTTGTGATAATTGTTTATAATGTGAAATTACGTGGTGTCTAGATTTGTCGATATTTGCTTTTTCAAGTAAATCAAGAGCTGAATCTTTTTCGAACGAAATTGAGGCAACACTGTTTTGTGGTAATGTAGCCCAATTTCTAATGAGAGATCTATCTAAGAGTGTTCTTGGTTGATCTGGAACTACGTGTGAATTGATGTGGGATGGTGATACTGAAATTGACTCAGTGACAAATTCATCTTCGTCAACTCTATCTCTACCCAAAGTGTTACGTTGATTATGGTTATTATTGAAATAAAATGCTGGTGGTTGGTTTTGGAATTTCATTTGGTTTGGTTGTTGGTTTGGTTGGAATGGTTGGAATTTCATTTGATTAAAGTTATTTGGTACATTGTGATAAATAATTGGATTTACATTGTTGTTATTGATATTGTTTGTATTAACGGCATTATTGTTATTATTATTATTAGATCCATATAAAAAGTTTGGATTGTTTTGGAGGATAAAGGATCCAAATAAGAAAAGGAATAAAATAATACCAAAGTTCTTGCTAAAGTTTTGGGTGGTTGGTGAGCCAATGGAAACATAGTCGAAAATACTTGTGGCAGATTTTTGTTTGTCTTGAAGTTTAAAGGTATCCAATTCCTCTTTTAATCTTGTATTCTCTTGTCTTAGTTTGATATTCTCTTCTTTATATTGATCTCTTTCTTTTTCAATTTCTGAAATTTTACCTTCTAATTCATCAACATGAGTTGCTTTTCTTTCTCTTGATCTTCTGGCACTTTCTCTATTTTTAATTTTTCTATAAAAAAAAAAAAAAAAATAGATTAATCTTTTGAACAAAATAAATAAAAAAAATAAATAATAATATTTACCTATATTGATAATTTAAAACTGTTTGAGTTTTTTTATCGCTAACATTTGAAAAGAAATTATTTTTATAAGCTTGGAATTCTTCAGAAGTAATTTCGAGTAAATCGTCACCCAAGTCAACACCAACAAAAACATTTGGTTCAAATTTCTTTTTCTTTTTTGGTCTATCACTTTCTTCTTTTTCTCTTTCTCTTTCTCTTTCTCTTTCTTTTTCCTTTTCTCTTTCTTTCTCCTTTTCTTTATCTTTTTTAGATGATTTATCTTTATCTTTTTTAGATGGTTTAGCAGTGGCAGTAGGAGTAGTACTTGGAACAACTGAAAGTGGTGATTGTGGCGATGTTGGTTGTTGGAAAAGGTCATAGTTTGTGGATGGTGAAGAGTTTGATGTTGTTGGGGATGATGGGGTACCATATGAAAAAGTTTCTGGTGATGAGTTATCTGATGAGGTTGGGGCACACAAGTTATTGTTCATAACTGGTGTGTTACCAATATTATTGGAAACAGTAAAATTGTTTTCATTATAAGGGTAGGGTGAAGTTTGTGGTACCAATAAGCTAATATTTGAACTATTGGTATTTGAAGTTGGTACTTGAATGTGATTTAACATATTTTGTTGTTCTATAAAAATTTGTTGGTGAATTTCTTGAATTTGTGAATAATAGTGATGATTATTATTATTATTACCATTGTTACTATTACCATTAGTATTGTTATTACTATTGTCATTAATATTATTACTATTTGTTGATGTAATAGTATTAATATTATTAAGTAAATCATTATTCATATTATTAACTTGGTAAAGTGGTGTGATGTTATTAAATTGATTAATATTTATATCAATAACATTATTATTATTTGTAGTTGTTGGTGGTAATAAGCCTTGTAGTGACTCTGATAATGGGATTGAGTAATCAATTGTTGTAATTGGTTGGTGTTGATTTTGTTGGTATTGTTGTGCAAAAATATCATTACAATAATTATTGTTATTTTGTTGTGGGTGTTGTTGTTGTTGTTGTTGTTGGTTATTATCATAAAGATCAACAATATATGAATTTAATCCACTATTAAAAATAGAGTCTTCATTATTAAAATCACCCATTTTTAATTATTAGTTTTTAGTTTTTTTTTTTTTTACGCAAAAAAAACTAATGTGGTTTATTTTTTTTTTTAAAAAATAAAAAAAATTTATTTATTATTATAT